TCATAGTGACCCTATAGGACAGAGTAGAACTGCCCCATAGGATTTCCAAGGAGCACCTGGTAGATTTGAACTGCTGACCTTTTGGTTAGCAGCAATAGCTCTTAACCGCTACGCCACCAGGGTTTCCTTTCTGGGAAGAGATGAACATAAAATTGGTCCTAACAGATAAATTGGTAATTGTTTATCTTAAGATCATTTATGTAATGGGCTGTATCCCCTTAGCTACACAGAATGGAGCGATTTCTGTCTTTGCAATCTCTGTAGGGATTGCCTGTGATGTGCATCACATTCTAGTGGAGAGTTTTCTGGGTTAGCAGGAGATTGTGTTTTTAATTGTATTTCCCCGACAACATTCTCGTGACTGGAGAGAGAAAATATAAATGAAAAAATCAGAGGTTGTGATAGTTGGAAACAGACAGTGTACTATAATCCTGAATAGGGTGGGCATAAACATAGGCATGGTGGTTAAGGGGAGGCCTGCCTTAGAAGGTGATATCTAACACAGAACCAGCATTATGAAAATGGGGTTAGTGAATAGTGGGAGAAAATAAAAAACTGATAGAAACATAATGGTGAAAATGGAATAAAGTCATCACAAGACCAGAAACACTGCTCCCTTACCCAGCCACCATTTTTTTCCTTCCTATCCCAATCACCAATGCAGTTACAATTTGTTCAGAGTTAGCAGTGACCACACAAACAAACAAAAAAGTCTGTCTTTTTGTTTTTTTAAGTCACTTCTGGGGGAAAAATTTCCAATGATAAAGGTGATTATTTTTGAGCACTTGCTATGCCATAGGCATGTTATGTATACCATTTTATTTAATCCTCACAACAGTCCTAGGAATAAATTGTTATTATTCCCATCTTGCAGCTGAGTAAGCTGAGACAGAGCTAAATAATTTGTCTGAGGTTACACAGCTGTGGAAGAGCGGAGCAGTCGGACCTGTAAGCCTGTCTTTTTTAATATTATATTAGAAAGAAAATGAAGGAAAGAACATGAAATGCTCTCTGACTCCCTTTATTCATCTAATCACGTTCCCACGTACTATACTGAATTTTATCCTTGATTACTTAATTGTGGTATAAAAATACACATTGAAATCTCTGGCGACACTACTTTGAAATGCCAATAATATTTGTAGGGAAAATGGTGGGAGGGATTTCATCAGATTTCATTTAAATTCCCCAATCACCCAGCTGTAAGTTTGTTTGCCTTAAACAAGCACTATCTTATTTTTTAATTCATCTTTTCTTTATAGAAGTCTGCATTTCATCAAGACGCTTGACCTCCAACTTCAGTCAGTTTTGACTTGACTCAGCATCAAGCATAGAAGGTGAAGTGACGATGTGATTATGAAACCATTATTCTAATAATATTTTAATCATTCTTACTAACAGCCCTTTACTTCCAGTTGATAAACGCACTTTAAAAAGGCAAACATATGCAAAAAGGTTTACCTAGAGTTCCTATTTATATAGGAAACATTCATGAGCATAAAAGTGCAGAATAAATTATTGTGATTGGTCATAGAATGAGAGAATAGAGTCTGTAGTATTTTATACCTAATTCATTATCTACTGAGAATGGAACTATAAATGAATCAACATACTCATAAATTTGTAGATTTTCATTACCATCGCTATATATAAACCCCAACCAAACCCATTGCCCTCCCAGTTGACTCCAACTCATAGTGACCCTGTATATAACTACCCAAAATGCAAACCAACTTATCCATAGTTATTCCTATCTAAAAAGGGGATCTCAGTACAACTCATATTTATGGACAAATTAGGAAGGTCTGATTAATGTCTTTAGATCCAATGAGGTTGGAGAGAGAAACCATCCCAAAAATAAATATACATTATTTCTCTGCTTTTGTTTTCCCTTTAGAATATATCAGGCCAAGATTTTCCTTTGAATAGTTTTCTCTGATCACTCCCATCTCCCCAGAAACATATAGTGTCATGAAGGTTCTCTGAATAATCCCTAGTTCCCATACACATACAGTTACAGTAGTTTAAGTTCTGCATATCTCTTATTTGCTTTTTAATGGTTTACCAGTTTTTGTGGCGTTGTCACAAGAGTAAATACTTCCACACTTGTGGGGCTATACACCCTCAATTAAAATTTAGCTAGACTTTTTAATTAGTTTGGAACTGTTATGCATTGAATTATGTCCCCCAAAAATATATGTTATAAATCCTAACCTCTATGCATGTGGTTATAATCCCATTTGGAAAGGGCTGTCTTCGCTATGTTAATGAGGCAGGATTAGTGTAGGGTGTATCTTGAGTTAATCTCTTTTGAGATATAAAAAGAGATCAAACAAGCCAGCACATAGAGAGATGGGGAAAGAGAGATGCCAAAACACATGGAGATCCCCAAGGAAACAGGAAACAGAAGGTGAAGAGACAAGGACTTTTCTTCACAGCCTACAAAGACAGAAAGCCTTCCCCTAGTGCCAGTACCCAGAATTCGGATTTCTAGCTTCCTAAACTGTGAGAAAATAAATTTCTGCTTGTTAAAGCCACCTGCTTTTGGTACTCTGTTATAGCAATACTAGACAACTAAGACAGGAACCATCCCTAATGGTTTCCACGCAAACTGGTGTTGTTCACATGTAGATAAGGTAATATACCACCAGATGCCCATCTATTTGCACTCCTTTAGGGGCCTAGCATAAACTTTTATGCCTTAAGAAATGAGTCAATGTTAATGAATAATTCATTCACATCTTTGCTTGGCTGTCCTCTTATTATTCAAGTCTCACCTTAACTGTCACCTCAGAGTGTCCTTCCCTGTGCACTAACTTAATGTAGTTCCCAGAGTTCCCTCACAATTCTTTCTTTATTGTCAAAAAAGCACTTAGTGATATCTCTTCCTTTAATTATTTGTTCGTTTTTTAATTTTTTTTTTTATTGCTTCCACAAAAAGTCTGTAAGCACCATGGAGGCAAGGACTTACATTTCACTAAGGTATCCCCAAGAACTAGAACAGTACTTGGCATACAATATGTACACAATATTGGTGTAGTGGTTAAAAGCTTGGCTGTTAACCAAAAGGTTGGCAATTTGAATCTACCAGTCGCTCCTTGGAAACCCTACGGGGCAGTTCTACTCTGTCCTATATGGTCGCTGTGAGTTAGAATCGACTCGACAGCAAAGGTTTTTTGTTTTTTTTTTTAATATATTGAATGATATAGGAGTGCATGAATGAATGAGCAAACAAATACATAGAAAATATATATGTAAATATGTTCATTTCATCCAATAATTATCCCTATCATTACATGTTGTTAAATATTGATTTTAATGAACATGCATTATATAATAAAAGAAAGAACACTTTTTAAACAGTGGTTCTCAAACAGTATGGGAGGTACCTACCCTCCACAGAATATCTGGAGACATTTTTGTTTGAAACAACTGGGAGAGTGATAACAGAATCTAGTTGGAGGCCAGGGATGCTGCTGCGTTACCCAGGACAGCATTCTACAAAAAAAGAAATATCCAGTCTAAAATTTCAGGAGTGTTAGGGTTGAGAAACCCTGCTGTATACCATTCTCTGTTCCTCAAATGAAGTTAATTTAGTACACTTTTATTAGAAGACTACCATATGCTAGTGTCATGCATTGAATTATATCCGACAAAAAATGTGTGTATCAATTTGGCTGGGCAACGATGCCCAGTATTGTGTGCTTGTCCTCCATTTTGTGATTGTAATTTTCTGTTAAAGAGGATTAGGGTGAGATTGTAACATCCTTACGCAGGTCGTATCCCTGATCCAGTGTAAAGGAAGTTTCCCTAGGGTGTGGCCTGCACCACCTTTTATCTTACAAGAGATAGAAGGAAAGGGAAGCAAGCAGAGAGTGGGAACCTCATACCACCAAGAAAGCAGTGCCGGGAGCAAAGCGTACCCTTTGGACTCTGGGTTCCTGTGCAGAGAAGGTCTTAGTCCAGGGGAAGACTGATTACAAGGACCTTCCTCTAGAGTTGGCAGAGAGAGAAAGACTTCTCCTGAAGCTGATGCCCTGAATTTGGACTTCTAGGCTACTAGACCGTGAGAAAATAAATTTCTCTTTGTTAAACGCCATCCGCTTGAGGTATTTCTGTTATAGCAACACTAGATGACTAAGACAGCTAGCATCAAATTGAATTCCTGAGGGGATTAAGACATGTTATAGACAGAAAAATAGACTAAGAGATGGCTGGATAGGTGGATGAATGGACGGACGGACAGACGGATGGACTGACGGATGGATGGATAGATGGATAAATGAATGGATGGATGAATGGATACTACATAGCTAGATAAATACATGCATAATTAGAAAGATGGCAGTGTCAACACTGTGTAGGACTGAAATAAACCATATATAACTGTGAATCTCAGGAAATATACTCTTGCTATTATCTAACCATTTCTCCACAGAACTTTCTGTATATAATAGCAAAATGGCAAATTGCATAAAAATATATACTGAAACTTTTGGAGGGAGACAATATTTATGGTGATCTGTGCTTTAAATGCTAATAGTATTTGTGAAGATACAGGCTATAAGTCGGACCTAATCACCAGATATTAGTTAAGTACCCATGAAACAAACATAATAATGTCTTCTTCAAATGGAAGGTGTGTGCCGTCATCATGAATGAAAATCACTGTGTGACATGAGAGCTGCATTAACTATGTAGATAGAATGGTTCTGTATGTAATGAGGTAGAAAACTGGAATCCAGGGAAAGATTTTGAGCGAAGGGTGTGAGAAAACAATCTCAAGCTTGGAAAAATGTCCAAACAGTTTGGCTTATACTTGGATCACTGGCAGCAGAGTAAAAAGACTTTTAAGTTTCCTTGGAGAGGCACTGCATTCTATAAAGCACGGTTCAGAAATTTGGTTAGAAGTGGCAAAGGAGAAATTTATATAGAGAGAAAAGCAGAGGTAACTCCCTCCCAGTCTTCCTTGTTTCTCTTGTAGTATAGACTGATCCAGAGTGTTCAATTCAGCAACACATATATTAAAATTGGAATAATACAGAGAAGATTTGAATGACCCTGTGTAAGGATAACATGCAAATTCATGAAGCATTCCATATTTTTCAGTGGGATGACATATTCAAAATGCTGAACAAAAAAAGACTGTCAACTAAGAGTTTTATATCCAGCAAAATTATCCTTTAAAATGATGGAGAAATTAAACATTCCCAGACAAACAAAAACTGAGAGATTTGTCACTAGCAGCCCGATTCTACAAGAAATATTAAAGGGAGCCCTTAAAGCCGAGAGGAAGGACACTAGATGATAACCAGAATCCACGTAAAAAGATAAAGAGCACTGATACACGAAAATTCATAAAAAAGAAATATAAATGTATTTTCTTTGGAACACTTTTCATTTCCTATCTGATTAAAAGACAACTGCATAAAGCAATAATTATTAAAATGGGGTTGATGGGCTTATACTCTACAAAGATATAATTTGTATGACAATAGCAAAAAAGGAGGGGAGTAGTAACAGGGATATATTGGAGCAAAGTTTCTGTATACTATGCACCTAATAACATATCCCAAAATTATATAAAGCAAAAACTGACAGAATTGAAGGGAGAAATAAACAATTCAACAATAATTGTTGGAGACTTCAATACTTCACTTTTAATAGTGGATAGAACACTTACGCAGATGATCGACATGGAAATAGAAGACTTGGAGAGGTCCAGAGCTTTCCATGGGCTTTGTCATGGACTGAATAGTGTCCCCCAAAAATATGTGTCAATTTGGCTAGGCCAGGAATCTCAGTATTATGTGGCTGTCCTCCATTTTGTGATCTGATATAATTTACTTATGTGTTGTAAATCCTAAACTCTGCCTGTGGCTAATGAGGTAAGGTCAGGTTACATTAAGAGGATTAGAGTGGGATGCAACAACCTTACTCCGGTCGGGTCGCAGCCCTGGTCTGATGTAAGGGGAGATTCCCTGGGGTGTAGCCTGCATCATCTTTTGTCTTGCAAGAGATAAAAGGAGAGAGAAGCAAGCAGAGAGAGAGAGGGACCTCATACCATAAGAAAGAAGCATCGAGAAAAGAGCGAGTCCTCTGGATGCAGGGTCCCTGCACTGAAAGCCTCCTAGAACAGGGGAAGATCAATGACAAGGACCTTCCCCCAGAACCAACAGAGAGAGGAAGCCTTCCCCTGGAGCTGGCACCCTGAATTCAGACTTCTAGCCTCCTAGACTGTAAGAGAATGAATTTCTGCTTGTTAAAGTCAGCCACTTGTGATATTTTTGTTACAGCAGCACTAGATAACTAAGATATAGAGTGAAGGACATAGAAATAGCTGACAAAAAAGTCACAGAGCCACTCTACAAACTTGGAGGGACACTCATTGCTAAGCTGGATAGATAGAGGATGTGGATGAGAGAGGCCTAGCAGCACCAGCAGAACATGAAATGGACCATCAATAAGGGAAGATGTTTGGGCCCTGGTAGGTTAAGAGAACCAGCCTGACCACAAACTTACCAGATTCATATTTTTAAGTGAGCTGAGGGGAAAGGGAAGATGACTTGGTGATTCTGACCTTAAATGACAATGGTAGAGCATGGTAGTGGAGGGAAACAAGGAACCAGAAGACAGCACAGGATGTGAACACTTGGAGGTGATAGTTTAAGAGTGGTGGGACCTCCTGATTCTGGCCTCAAAGCAGATTCAACTTGTCTTTCTCAGATCCTCCTCAAGTGCAGTAAGAATACCAGAAGCAGTTTTTAATCCAGCTTTACCAATAAAATGCTTCCATATTTTAATTCTTACTTATCAGCATTATTTTGTAGGTCCTCAGTTTGCTGTTAATAATAAAATAATTTGCTACAAACTATTTTTTTTTTAAGAAGAAAAGGGATGTTCAATTTTCTTGATGTACTTTGTTAGAAAATGGTTTAGATATCATGGTCTCCTGGAAAAACCCCTGCAAATTCCCCTCCCCATTATTTTCTGTACAAAATTGCCATTGCCATTACTGGCATTAAAATCAAAGTCTTACGTCTACCAAGAATATTTTATACATTATAAACTATATATGTTATTATAAAATAAATTAAATTATTTTAAATAAAATAATTTAGACAAAGCAGAGCCATACTTTGCATCTAGTGTTTGCTTGTATGTGAACGTCAGGGTTTTTTGGTTTTATTTTAAAATTTTATTGTAATGATTACTTAGCAAGATATTATAGCAAAACTTGTGAAAGCTGGGACTTGTGTAAGGCAGAAACCTTCCAGAGAGGGAAAATTTAAATATTTTCCACTAAAGTAAGTGATAAAAAGGGGGAGAACTTGTGAGACACAGAAAACAAGCCAGTCCGTTGGAGTTCCAGCTCTTAAACAGTTTTCACTGTATATAGACCTACACTAAAGAACCATGCCTGCAAAATATATAGACCTCTTCTCTCTCTCTCTTTTCTTTTCAGCTTTGGCAGGCAGATAACTGATTTTATCCCAAAATAACCATAATCAGTGGTTAAAAAAAAAACAAAAACAGAAAACAAAAAGCCCAACAATGTGAAAAAAGATGTACAGGTTCATGCGATGGTTTTATAGTCAGTATTAAAAAATAATTCTTGCCAAAGTTAAAGGTATTAACGTATTTTCAAGGGACCTCTCAAGTGCAATTTTTCCCCCCTGGCTCAGCATTTCATTTTTACAACATCTGTTAATCAAGTCTAAGCAGTGTTTAAGTCCTCAGTCTCTACTTCAGATTACCTCACTATCACTGCTCACTTCTCTCACTGTCTGTACTACTATCTTCCCAGGCAACCATGGTTTTAACTCAGCTTTTTGTTCTACTTCTTCAATCATTCCAACTTCACTATTCTTTGAGAACAGTAACCATAAATTTCCAAGTCCATAAAACAAAGACTAATGTTTATACTTTCAAAAACAATACACAAAATAATAAATATCATTTAAGAAATGCCAGGAAAAATTGATTATTGTAGAATTCAGAGCAACCAGTCCAGATTGAAGCTGAACAACACTATTCCTTAGAAGTGTAAAGAGAAAATAGAAAAATGACTACTAAATTCATCTTTGTCCTCAATTGCATTTGAATATTAAAACTCACAGAATCTAGGAAGCATTTAACCTAAACAAGAAGAAGAAAAAAGACAAGTTATAAAAAATAGACCACCTTCAATTAAAATAAACTTTTAAAGAAGATAAAGTTGTATAAGAAGATCAAAAAATAGTACAGTATTGAACAAAAACTATCCCCAAAGATCATCTTTTAGCAAAATAACACATTGGCACACAAAATAAAAGATACCATCTATGAGTACATTGCTCCATTAAAAAAGCATCTACAGGAGATCAAAAGGTCAACAATTACTCTAAAGCAAAAATGAGAAGATAAGAGGGTAGGGAAACAAGAGTACTGGAAATGGAACAACCAGAACACACAGAGAATGTTGACAAATTGTGAAAATGTGAGATGTGGCTGAATAATTTGTGCAGAAATTGTAAAATAAGAACTTAATTTGCTATGTAAACTTTCACCAAAAATACAATAAAAGATTATTTAAAAAAAAATACAGCAATGCAAGGATCCAGATACTTTCTCCATTGAGAAATTCCTCAATCAAAAAACATTACTATTTCTCTGATGTAGAAAGCCATAGACAAGTGTCTGGTATTTTAATTTTATGTCCTTCATAAAAGTAACTGCTAAACTGCTAAGCAAACAACTGGCTTGCATGTTGCTGTGATGCTAGCAACTATGTCACCAGTATTTCAAATACCAGCAGGGTCACCAATGGTGGACAGTTTTCAGCAGAGCTTCCAGACTAAGAGAAGACTAGGAAGAAGGATCTGGCAATCTACTTCTGAAAAAAAAAATGGCCAGTGAAAACCTTAGGAATAGCAGTAGAACATTGTCTGATATAGTGCCAGAAGATGATCCCCTCAGGTTGGAAGGTACTCAAAATACCACTGGGGAAGAGCTAGCCTCCTCAAAGTAGAGTCGATCTTAATGACATAGATGGGACAAAGCTTTTGGAAACTTCATTTGCTGATGTGGCACTACTCAAAATGAGAAGAAACAGCTGCAAACATTCATTAATTATCAGAAGGTGGAATGTACAAAATATGAATCTAGGAACATTGAAAGTCATCAAAAATGAAATGGAACACATAAAGATCAATATCGGAGGCATTAGTTAGCTGAAACGGTCTGGTTTTGGTCACTTTGAATTGGACAATCCTATGGTGTACTATATAGGGAATGATAAATGGAAGAGGAATGGCATCTCATTCACTGTCAGAAAGAACATTTCAAGATCTATCCTGAAGTACAACTCTGTCAGTGATAGGAAAATAGCCATATGTCTACAAGTAAGACCAGTTAATACAACTATTATTCAAATTTATGCACCAACCAGTAATGCCAGAGATGAGGAAATTGAAGATTTTTACAACTTCTGCAGTCTGAAATTGATTAAACATGCAATCAAGATGCACTGATAATCACTGGTGATTGGAATGCAAAAGTTGGAAACAAAGAAGAAAGAGTGGTAGTTGGAAAATATGGTCGTGGTGATAGAAATGATGCTGGAGATCACATGATAGAATTTTGCAAGACCAATGACCTCTTCATTGCAAATACCTTTTTTCATCAACATAAACGGTGACTATACACGTGGACCTTGCCAGATGGAATACATAAGAATCAAATCGACTACTTCTGTGGGAAGAGACGATGGAAAAGCTCAATATCATCAGTCAGGAAAATGCCAGAGGCGACTGTGGAACAGACCATTAATTGCTCATATGCAAGTACAAGTTGAAACTGAAAAAAATTAGAACTAGTCGATGAAAGCCAAAGTATGACCTTGAGTATATCCCACCTGAATTTGAAGACCATCTCAAGAATAGATTTGATGCGTTGAACACTAATGAGCCAAGACCAGATAAGTTGTGGAATGACATCAAGGACATCATACCTGAAGAACGCAAAAGGTCATGAAAAAGACAAGAAAGAAAGAAAAGACCAAAATGGATCTCAAAGAGACTCTGAAACTTGCTCTTTAACTTAGAGTAGCTAAAGTGAACAGAACA